AAGCCTGTTTCACAATTACATCCACTTCCACATCACTCAGTTCTTTCTCCAGAAAACGGCAGATTTTAAGCACAGCACTTCGCAGATCCTGAAAGGAATTATGGGTGTGAGAAACTATTCAGTTTAAGCATGAATTACATAGTAACATCTTTCACACATTTGGAAAAATTGTTGGTACTTAAGTTTATTCTAAGTGTAAAATTGAGAATGGTATATTGTTTCCTAACATCTTATTGCTTCCTTATACCTTACAGGACATCTCTGAAAATGTGTGTCATGTTGTCAGATATTTTTTCAAAGCTTCCAGTTGTTGGAATTTATAAAGATATTCCATCTTAATTTATTTGCTAAATTAGCATTATTAAAACTTTACATGTAAGAAACTGTGGTAGATGCTGAAAAGCTCAAAAAGACGAGACAGTGCTATTTGTTAAGAGTTCACGATTTCATGAGGAAGTTAGCAAAGAATATAATGAAGTTACAATGAAAAAAAACAATATAAAACTAAAATATGAAACAGAAACAAAATGTATAATGGTAGCTTATAGTAACGAAAGATCCATTTTTTCCTAGAGGATTTTATGCAATCTCTAAAAAGTATAAACATTTCTTTCAATTGAAGAAGGAAGGATAAATAAGGTATATCCTTAGAAAAAGCATGATAACATGTTTCTAACAGTAAAAGTTGTAAGCTATAGAAATTTATAATGCTTTACATATCTAATAAAAATTGAAGCCAAATAAACTTATAATTTGGTGGATTCAATAGAAATGAAACTAAAAAAGAGAGAAAAAAAGAGCTTTCTCTGGTAAGCTGATTTTTTTTTTTAGTTTTTCTTTGCAAGTGACATTCATTGGAAGTGTATGATGAGTTTACTCAGACAGCAGAAGGTAGGATCCTGGTTGTATAATGTATGTGTGTGTGAGTAGATTCTATTTTGGGTGACCAGCTGAAAGATCTGCAGTAGAATCTACCAGCTGTTCTAGAAGAGCAAGGCGATGAGTCTCTTTCTGTGCAGACTGACCACTTTAGAAAAGCAGTGGAGGGTTGTCCTGAGTCAGAATCCGGTTACACATGAGTGAGATATCAAAGAGGAGTCCCCGTGGGATGCCAATGGTTAAGCACTTAAGTAGGAGCAGAAATGTAGGGATTCAAGCCTACATAGAGATGCCTCAGGCAACAGACCTAGATGTCTACTTCTAAAAGATCTCAGCCTTGAAAGTAAAAAGTTTTACCTGGCTCGTTTGGGATCACTGTAATCATTGCAATAGACTCTATATCAACTAACAAAAAATTATTTCTACAAATCATGTCTGTATACAATGGCTAGCTCAGAATTAAGATATGCATTAACATGAATAGACAAAACAATATAGCCAGGACCAGATGACATAAAGGTAATTGAAAAAGAATTACAGAGACTACAGGTACAAGAATTTTAGGAGATAATTTTTAAACCTAAATATACATTGTACACAAATGTCCATAGCAGCATTATTCACCATAGCAAGAACATGCAAACAACACAGATGTCCAATCATAAATGAATGGATTGAGAAGTTGTGATATATTCATACAATGGAATACTATGCAGCACACAGAAGCAATGCTTTTGTAAATTACTTCCTAACTTGGGAGGGACTGGAGAGTATTATGCTGAGTTAACTAATTCAGTGCTACAAGGACGAATATTATTTAAAACCATTATTGTAGAATGAGCATGAAGGTCCAAGGTGGGGGGGTGGGGGAAGCAGAAGGGTAAGGATTGGGGGAGGTGTTTTAATTATTTGGTTTGTAAAATTATTTGGGTGAGGGATGAAGGAAATGGGTAGGATCTTTTGTGAAAAACAATGGATTCAAACTGTTTATTCAAGTTATTTATTTGTAAATAAGTCAATTTAGAATTAAAAAAAAAAGAAGTGTCAAAGAAGATGAAAGGGATACAGACAGCCATTTTATCAAAGAGATTAGTCAATGTTGAATCATTTCAGGAGGTAGCTTATGGTCAAAAACTGATGATACTGAAAGAAGAAATATAAGATGCACTAAAAACACTGGTGAAAAACAAGGCTGTAGGAATTTATAGACTGCCAACTGATGGGAATCAGACAAACAGATGGGAATTCAATAAACAGATGGGAATATCAGAAGTTATCACTTGCCTATGTCAAGAAATTTGTAAATGAGGAAAATATTATAGTGGTTAATGATTTTGTTTCTATTTAAATGATATATAACATTTCCTTCATAATTAAAAAAATAAATAAACATAGTAAGCCAGGGTAATAAAAGTAAAAAACATATTTTTTAAAAATTAGAAATGGAAAATATATCCCAGCATTTTAAAACATATCTCAATTAGTGAATTATAATGAAGACCCTGGTAAATCATTAACAGATTAGAATTGACAAATACTACAGTAAAAATAGAATGAAAATTTCATAATAAAATATCAAAGATATTTGATATAGGCAAAATTTGATATAGGTTTGTTTTTCATCAGTGATATTAATTAATTGCTCAGTAAGCGGTATCTGAATCTCTGATCAAAGATTTTAACCTTCCTCTAAAAAAAAAAATTGTAAGATAGTGTGCAAGACTTCTTCTGTGTCCCTCCAAAGGCCATCGCTTAAAAAGGTTACTCATCTTAGGAATCATTTCTCAAAGCTACTTATTAGCACTCTAGAATTCTAAACTATATTTCACATTGTATAGGATATTGACCTAAAGGAGAGTCAGAGGTTTACCTCCAGTCCAACTATGCAATACAGGATGTTGGAGATAGAGAGATAGAGAAAAAGAGACTGATTCTGTGTAGTCACCATGGTTATGTGGATATCACTTCCAAGTCAGGCGAAATTATTTATCATTAATTGATTATGAATTGGGGTTGGTTTTGTGTTGTTATGTGCCATCGAGTCACTTGCTACTCATAACGACCCTATGTACAAGAGCCCTAAACCCTGCTCTAACCTGTGCCAATCTCACTGTTTCTGATGCACCCACTCCCATTACCCCAGTCACTGAATCAATCCATCTCATCAAGGGTCTTCCTCTCCTGTCCCTCCACTCTACCAAACATGATGTCCCTTTCCAAGGACTGGTCCCCCCTTGCAAAATGCCCAAAATATGTCAGACAAAGCTTCAGAATCCTTGCCTCCAAAGAGCAGCTGGGTTTCACCATCTCCAGGACAAACCTGTTTGTTTTCCTAGGAGTCACTGGTATATTCAACACTCTTCTCCAGCACCACAGCTCAAAGACATCAATTCTCTTTTTATCATCCCTAGTCAATGTCCAGCTCTCCAACATATAACACACAATTAAATCAATCCCAGATTGCAAAGACTATGGCTCAGATCAGGTGCACCTTAGGCTCCAGCCTGATGTCGTTGCTCTTCAGTACTCTGGAAAGGTCCCTTAAAGCTGACTTTCCCGATGCAATTCATCTCTTGATTTCCTGGCTGCTGGTACCAAGAGTGTTGACTGTAGAGCCAAGCAAACTAAAACTGTTAACTATCTCAATCTCTTCATCATCCATAATGATGTGGCAAATTGGCCCAATGGTGAGAATTTTTGTTTTCTTAATGTTGAACTTCAATCCATGTTGAAGTTTGCAATATGGACCTTGACCTTGGGCAGCAAGTGCTTCAGGTCCTCCTCAGTTTCACCAAGTGGGATTGTGTCATCTGTGTAACACAGGTTGTTATTGAATCTTCCTCCAATCCTGATGCCACATTGCTCTTCATACAGCCCAGCATCCTGGATGATCTGTTCTGTATACAGATTGAAAAGTTATGGACACAGAATAAATCCTTGGCAGACACCTTCCTGTTTTTGAATCCTGCAGTGTCTCCTTGGCTATGTTCTGACAACTACTTCTTGGTTCAAGTATAAGTTTCGCATAAGCATAAACAAATGTTCTGAGATTCCCATTCTTCTTAGAGTCAGCCACAGCTTGTTGTGATTCACACAGTCAAAAGCCATTGCATAGTCAATGAAGCACAGATAGACATTCCTCTGGTACTAATAAACCATTAATTATGATATAAATAGTATGTGCTATGACTGTATCTGATATGAGTTTATGAATCCTAAAACCCACAATCTTATATCTAAGTATGTTTGACTTGGAAGATATATCAGGAGATATACAAGAATTCTGGTGGTTTAGTGATAAGGAATTGTGTTGCCAGCCCAAAGACCTGCGGTTCAAATCCACCAGCTACTCTGAGGGAGAAAAATGGGCCATCTCCGCCAATGGGATTTACTATCTTTGAAAACCTACTGGAAGCTCAGCTATGAGTTTGTTCCAACCCAATAGGATATACAACAATAATGGGGCAAAATTTTATATAGGTTTATTTTTTATCAATGATAATAATTAATTGGTCAATAAGTGGTATCTTAATGTCTGATAAAGAATTTTGACTGCTTGTGTAGATTCAAGATTCATCAATTTATGTCCCTACCCACTCACTCCAATCAGGTTACCGTTTCTTACACTACCTGTCGTGCCACAAAATTCCATTAGTATTTTTTGTTTGTTTATCTCTAGTCTATTTTTATTAGTGATAATAGTAAGGGGTGGGTGACTGAATAGCCTGGGATTAAATTAATACATGAGTATAATGGAGTACATACCCTTCTTGTTGTTGTTATGTGCTGTCAAGTTTCCTTCAGCTCATAGCAATCTTATGTACAATAAGAACCCTGCCTTATTTTGAGCCAATCTCACTGTCTCTGACACACCTACTCCTATTACCCCAGTGTCTCTCCATCCTCACAAGCATGATATCCTTTTCCAAGGACTGGTGCCTCCTGGCAACATGCCTACAATATAAAAGACAGAGCTTCAAAATCCTTTCCTCAAAGGAGCAGCTTGGTTTTAGCCTCTTCAGGACACACTTGTTTGTTCTTTTGTCATTCCATGGTATGGTCAATATTCTTCTGCAGCACTACTTCTTAAAGGCACCAATTCTTCTGTCATCCTTAGTCATTGTCCAGCTTTCTAATGCATAGCAAGTAGTTGAGAAGATCATGCCTGGATCAGGTTCACCTTAGTCTATAGACTGATACTGTTGCTCTTCAGCACTCTGGAGAGGTCCCTGATGGCAGATTTTCCTAATAAAATTCATCGTTTGATATCCTGCCTACTTGTGCCAAGAAGGTTGATGTGGAACCTTTGTGATAGGTTAAATCAATGCCATTTCTAGAAAACTAATATTGTTTCTCCTGAATTCGATTCTGCAAACAGTATCATTAAATTTATGTAGGGAGGTTTGCTTTCAATATTTCTCATATTTTCTATATTTTTTAGTGTTGTTTTGTTTCGGAAACCAAAGAAAATTTGGCTTGGTATGCCAAAGGTGTTTATTAAATCTCATTTTTTTTTCAATTTCTTTCTCTTTCTGTATTGACTGTTTTCACTTTTTCTATGCATTAATGCAAATGCTTTTGTAAAATCATCAACTCTATAATATTTTTACCACTTTTTATAAGTCTTAAAGTGCTCATCACTCTTGTAAGAATTTAAAACATCACTATCACTAGCATGTGTATAGAAAATGCAGTCTAGCTCCTATTACCTCTCTGTTTTCATCTTTAAGCACTTCCTTCTAACTCTCTGGGTCATTCAATAAGGAATCAAAAAAAAAGGAAACATGAAATACCTTTGGTCTGGTTTGCACAACATTTTAAACACCTATGAATTGGTCATCAACATTATATTATTTCACATGAGTTCTATATTTCAATTTTCTTTTATAAAGCAAGAAAAATGAGCTATAATACAGGGAACTCATTCAGCTGTTGAAATAATTAGCCATATCTTTGCAGTGGGATTTTATTCCAATGCTAAACAGTATTCTCCCTCTTTATTTGCTCTGACATTTGTTTTGCCTTAATTACTAGAAGTGGCTATTTCAGAAGACAGCACTTTAAAAGATTGATGAGAGAGCTGGAAGAAAATTCATATAATTGAAGAAAAGTAGAAAATTAGGGACCACACAAGAAGCCTGATAAGAAGCACTCAGTTCAACACAAAGACAGCCAGAAGAATGACTCACTGAAACCCAGACAATAAAGGATTTTATGGAAAGAATAATGATAGTAAAATAACCTTCCTCTCTTACCTTTGTCATATCCTCATACATCATAAACAGAATATTGAAATGATGTTTGTTCTTATACCAGTCTCTGACATGATCAAACCAAAGGCTTCCTACCACTGTGGGTAAAATTAATAAATGACAAAGTGAAGAGCTTATACATTTTTTTAACAATAATAAAAAAAGGTCTTTATTTTTCTGTTGGTGTATCAAAGGAAATAAAATAACTCCACGGGTGTACTTTTTGATTGTGGTTGTTGATTTGCCTATTTTGGTTAGGTTCTGCCAAGTAGTATGACTCAGCAACCTTATGAACCCTGTCCTATTCCATGCCCTCCTCACAGTCTCTGACACATTTAGCACATTGGGAATGACTGTGTCATGGGATATTCGGCACTCTTCTCTAACACCACAACTTAAACATTTCAATTCTTCTGTCATCTTTACTCATTGTTTAACTTTCAGATGCTTAAGAAGCAAATATTATGGCTTGGATCAGACAGACATACCAACGTAGGGCATACACTGAGTGTTAGCTATTCTATTCTGCAGCGTGGAGTGCTATTGGTCTAAATAATCGCCACTGAGATGTTTGTCGTAACTCTACGTTTCAGGGTGGAATTATGCCTTCTACGGTTTCCAATGGCTACTTTTTCAAGAGTAGATTTCCATGCCTTTTTTCAGAAATGTTTTTGAAATTCCAACTCTTCTTGGCTTGAATCTCAGTGTTAACATCATTTAAACTATCCACAAACTCCATTGTGAGTCTAATTAATATAAATTGTTATGTATTTGTGACCGTTTCATGGACTGGTCAAAATATTTCCAGAATATTTGCCTTTGCAACCCTGAAGCCTTTCAAAGTGACTTTTGAAGTGATAGAAAAAGTCTATAGGTGATCAAATAAAATCATGTAGTGCAATAAGTATTCATGTACAGTCCACGTTCATTTATTTCTGTCTTTTAGTCATGAAGTATGTTCTCTAAGTTAGAGAATATGTACAAGCATTCTTATCTGATAAACATGTTTGATATAGAAATACTAGTTACCTTTGCCATCTAGAAACCTTTTCATGAATTCTTCTATATCCTTTATAGGTTCTAATACAGACACAAATTTTGAAAAATGAAAATATGAATTCATAACATCCTTAGGGTTTCTGTAGACATAAATAATCTGTTGGGAAAATGAAGACATTATTATAGCAATTCCTTTTTTTAAAAAATTTATTTTTGTGTGTGTGTGTAACATCAAATCAGATCTGACTGATACAGAAGGAGATTGCCCCTCCTTCTCCAGCAGAGCATCTGGTGGATTCAAACCACATACCTCTGGATTGTAGTGCAGCTTCTTGCCACTAGGCCACCAGAGCTCCCTTATAGCAATTTCTTAATTATTTATCCAAATACGTATCAGTACATTATCATTTTATTTCATAAATTCCCAAAATTTATTCCAATATCCCTGTGCCTTCAGGTCTTAAGCCTGCAGCAGATTTCCA